AAGTTCCGTGTGTACTTGTTTGGAGACGAGCGCTTTGTGATCTATACAGATCATGCCTAACTGTCAGTAAAGCCTCTCCATTTATCGCAAAGAATGGCTCGATAGTTGCCCTTCTTGGCGGAGTACAGCTTTGCTGTACACTACAAGTCATGTAATACGAACATCTTAGCTGATGCGTTGTCAAGGCTATAATCCAAAGTCTAGGAGTGAAAACAAGCACGAGTCATGTTGACAATGCAAAGATGTTCAGACGATCAGAGTATAAGATACGACTTTAAAGCGCAAAGATATTTTCGAAGGGTACAAGTCGAATGAGACATGCTAGGTCTTGCTGAGGTATTTCAATAACCACTCCGACAAAGCACTGCAAGGTCATCCGTCTCCCACAAGCCAGCGTGTTCACCGTTTTGAAGTACAAAGCAAAGTGTTGTACCATGCCGTTGAACACGGGGATACAGCACAAGTTGTTGCTCCAAATGACGAAAGTTTGCGACATCGTCTCTTATATGAGTGCCATGACAGCCCTTCGGGTGACCGGCCATCTCGGATGTGAAAAAACGTTTCTTGGTCTTTCCAAGGATTACTATTGGCCACACATATTTAAGTGGGTGCGCAAGTATGTCGGAACTTGTGAGATTTTTCAGAGAGTGAAATCATCGGGTTATCTTCGAACTCACTTCGGTCGTCACCAGTGCCAACTGAAACTGGAAGTCTGTGAGTACGGACTTCATATTCGGAGTTCCGCGTGATACACATGGACGCAGTGGTAATTTCTGTTAGTGGACCGCGTCAGCAAGATGGTTAATCATGCGCCTGTTTCGGACAAGATCTCTACCGAGAAGACAGCTCAGGTCGTTGTAGACAATTATTTACGTCTGCATGACGTTGCTGTTGAGATCGTGTTTGACCGTGACTCCCGTTTTACTTAAAACTTTTGGCGTGCAATCTTATGAATTTTGGGCACCACAATGTCCATGTCAATAGCGGCACACCCTGAAACGGACGGTTAAACAGAGCGTGTGAATCGAGTCCTGGAAAACGTACTGCGTAGTTACGCGACGTCTTTCAAAGAGTGGGCTGATGTTTTTTCTCTTGCAGAGTTTGCGCTGAACAACTTCGCGCATGTCTCGACAGATCATTCGCATTGTATGTGAGCTATGGAATTCGTCCTAGAGTACCTGCTTCCATAATAGGCGAGGTCCCTACCTTAATTGACGGGAAGAACTATGGCTATAGAGCCATAGTCAGACCTAAATTCTGTCACAGAGTTAAAAGCGAATTTTGACTCATTGAGACCTCTAGGCGACATGACAGGTCGTAATAAACGGCACGTCGATGACAGTATTGCGTAGATACAATCCGTTGCTTGGTTTGTTCGAGACGTAATTGCAAAATTCAGGATCTGAAGATAACAAGTAGATAAGAGCGGAAGGAAGAACAAGAAGGTGTATAACGTCAATTATCTTGAACTACTTTCCACGACAAATTTTTCTGAACATGCAGTGTCCAACTTGGAAAGCAGGAAGCTTATATTAAGATTCATAGGACCCGTTAAGGTGATTAAATGCAATGGTCATGCATATACATTAGCCATCCCCACACGAATGCGCTCAGATCCTACATTTGATGTGGGTAGGCTAAATGCATACCTTTCGAGTGGATCTGCCAATCCTACTCTATTTGTGGTAATTGATCGAGCTGATCATGAAGTTTCATCATTTTTCCACGAAGAGCAACCAACTTTTCACCCTGGAGATTCCTCTCGGCGTACAAGCGTTAAAAGATATCGAGGATTGCTCCTTTACTGGATCCAACGCTTGAAGGCGAAAGTGATTCTAACCACGGAGATCTCGAGAACAAATCCTGCCTCTTCAAAAGAGCGCAACAGGTGTTCGTGAGCAATCCCACGAGATTTCTTGTCCTTCCGGAGTCAAACAAGTTTACCATGAACCTGTTTAAACCGTACTTCGAAACGGGACTCCAAAGCCAAGCATTGGGTGGAACCATCAGTCAGAAAGTCAAGTTTCACGTTCTGCTCTGCAACAAGGTTCAAAAGGCTCTCGCAGCGATCTTCAAGCGTCGAGCAATGCTGCTGCAATGCCCGAATTTGGCTGCGATGAGCGCTCTTCTACTTCCAAAGTTGCTCAATCGTTTTCACGTTCAGCCCCGCCTCTGCTGTTAGACTCTCGTGGATAGCGTCGTTGGATGGTTGAGACGATTGTTGATCACGAGAATCGATCGACTCGTTATCGTGGATTAGTAGCGGTTGAACCGTCAACGCTTCTACAGAGTTTGGTGGCTCGGCTATACATCGGACTCGGACACATGGGAACCTCGTCAGTCATTAGAGTCTGATGTTCCCGACGTGGTCCGCAGCTACAATAATAGCTTGTAGTGTTACTAGAGGCAATAATACGATGACCAGAGCTTGGTGTGTTCGTTCCTGACTGGGGATCTTGCCAGCGCCGACTTGGCGGATTAGGTTTTCCATCTTGTCCTTGTTCTTAAGGCAAACAAATGTCCGCCAAGAGTCAATCTTAGTCGCGATGGGCTGGATTGGATCATCGCGATTGCTGATCCGACGCCAACGAAAAAAACATTCCATGTAAAACCCACGTACCAATTTCAGCTGGGAATGGAGGAAAATCACAGAGTTCTGGAACTGTTCTTTGCCGTTTGGACGAAGAACGCTCTTTTGTGTTGGCTTGTTAACTTGATCGCTTCATTATCGATCAAAAAGTGAATTGCTTCAAAAGGTCTACACAAGTATTGACGTACTGTTGACTTTAAGGAGGGATGATGTAATGGGCTACAGTTAACCATTAAACGACGGCTAATCAATGTACTTCTGTATATATTGTGGAATTTTATATGGCGATCCTAAATGCATACGTGACATCATATAATTAAGTCACAAAATGTTCTTTGTGGTAAAGAATTTTGTTTGCAACTTGGGGATCTGTACTGGTGACGAGATCGACGTGTGTCTGTCCTTCGATGTGAGTGGCATAACATCTTCCCTTCTACTGGATACTTTCCACAAAGTCGAAGTTCAAACTTTTCGAAGTTCAACGTCCGTACAACCAATATCTTGTAATAGTTGCAGCTTTCTCCCTCAGTACACCCTTCATTTATAAACCAGGAACCCAGCGTTTTTTGTAAAACCTCGAAGAGTCCTTGGGGGGGGGTGTAGCTAGAAACCATAATTTCTTTTATTCAGTTGCAAATTTGTTTTAAAGGCATTAAGTCGTTCTTCTTTCGGCCGGGTTGGGACTGTCCTTCTCCCTCCACGTCGGGCATCGCTTTCTTATCACGCAAGCGTTTGGGTAGTGTCTGAGGGACTGTTTATGAACAGTGCCCTCATACAGCTCACCTTGAGCTTTGTTTTAATCTAGCAATCACCTTCTTCCATACGCGCTAGCCTCCACATAAAAATACCCTCGCCACTAGGTATGGACGAGCTAATAGCTTTTTTATTGCAGTCGTTTGTCTGCGCTAATCTACAGCCTGACAATCTAACCGTTTGGCCATGCACTACAGCCACTTGAAAAGTACGACAAGCGTCTGAACGCGGACCACGAGAGCTTGGACACGTTTTTCGCAGACGACTCAAATCTTCTGGGCAGTTCCGTCACTATTCTGCATGATCAGCTCAAGCATAGAACGAGAACTGCAGGGGCACTGTATGCAAAATTTAACCTTTCTGTTGTATTTCTGCCAGCCTTGAACCAAATCCGATACTGCCCGCTATTAGGTGCCCGGTCGCAAAGATACAATGAAGTACCTCGGCAATAAGCGTGCGTTGACGGCCCGCTTATTGTGTTCCGTGAGCAGCATTTCACGGTGGCTTTAAGGCATGATATCGTCGGCGACGTCGTCGGCTCTTGATAGCCGATACGATGCTTATAGTTTGCTTGTAGCGCTACACGTAGCATGTTTCGTTTCTACTGCGGTGCTAGAAAAATCTTAGCTATTTCGTGCTCAGTCGAAAGCATGATCGCAATATGTCGCATTTCAAACTTGCATATTAAGAAAGATAGCACTAAATGGCGGTCGCCGCAACCCATGTATTGATGCGCAGTTGATGCGTCAGTGTCTTCATTTTGCTGTTATAGTTCGTGAGGACTTAGGGGACACAAACAGTGTAAAGCAGGACGTCAACAATAACAGACCCGCTGATGTTGGTTCTCTCTCGTACAGGCTGCTACTAATCTCTTGCCTCTATCACAACTTCTCAGCTTCGACTTAAGCAAGTGATTCAGTGAACACTGACTTCAGCATAATAGCGTGTATCGTGCACCTTTAGTGTACAAGTTCCTCGAGGGACTCACATAGCCCAACTTCCCAACGATGAGCACTCTTCCTACGAGATTTATGAGCGATTTGTCACAACTTGGGCCGAATATGGCTTTTGGGAAGGTCGCGTTACCGTATATCTGTTCAGCGCGTATGCAGCGGGGCTGCCGTAGCAAAACGCTTGAGGATGCGTACTTTAGGTCACCGACCTTTCGTTCTTTACAAGAACCAAGTATGAGTGAGCGGATCGCAATCCGCTTACTCCAAGAGTAATTTTTGCCTTTTCAAGTCTAATCGACTCTTTCAAAACTGAATTTTATTTATTTTTATCCTAATTCAAAAAGTTTAGGTTTTCCTAAATATACTAAATATATAGTAAAATCTAAATATGCATAACTACTGGCTACCTAACCACATACCGTATCCTTGTTTGGGTGCAGTCACACCATGCACATCTCGTGTGACACACACCCCTGTTACCAGGGCACGTGTAACCCCGTTACAGCAACTTTGGTGGCGCAGTTTATTATCTTGATTGTGGAAGATCTTTGGCATACGATGCTTGCACGCTTTTTGTGTGGAGATTGTGCACGAGACAGCCGCCGATAACTTGACTTCGCACTTTCAACATTACCACACAGTCAACTAACAAAGTGGCGGGAGTGCTTTACAAGATAATGGTATCGAAAATGTGGGTAGTCGTGATGTCGGGTTGTAGGGTTAAGATGCTTCTAAACAATTATGAACGCGTACGGAAGGATGGTCTGTATAGTCCAAAAGTGGTGCTTTCTCAAATCATGTAGATACGAGCACTATCAAAAGACTTTTTGATAATTAGAAACTCCCAATTTGTCGACGAGGACAAGATTTTGTTGCTTGCGACGTACAACAAGCATTTGCACAACGCCTGATTTCAGTTTATGAGAACAAATTGCTTTTTATTTGCGTTCTGTCATTTGCCGATTCATTCTTGATAGGTTTTCAAGAATCAGCACTTTCCGCATTATGTGCGTGTACGATCAGGCGAGTTCGAGATTAAAGAGCACTTGTTATTCAAGCGCACTCTTGCAGTTCAGCTTCAGATAATCGTGACGCAACTGGTATCCGCTTTCTCTACCGTACGCGACCGCAAGACGGCGTGTGTGTAGCGAGTGGGGAAACTGCGAAGAAGAGGTACCTTCTATCTGGTTTGTCATGATCGCGTAAATTTCTTAAGGATGTATCCTTGAGCTAGCAAAGCAAGCTTAACATCTATTTACGTTGAAGGCTGTGGGATCGCTCACAGAAACAGCGTGGGACCCGACATTTCTGCGTCTTTTTACGCGGTTTTGAGTCAGGCTTCCTTTGTGCAAATTGCACGACAAACTTTTTCATTTAAGCCTTTTCCTTGATACAATCGCGGGTTTTCCCTTTACGTACAAATGCACTGATCGTTCGTATATCTTCGATTGTTCCCTCCAACTTGCATCCGAAACCTATTTGCATGCTGGATGATA